ACCGTGTTGTAAATCTTACAACACTAGTGTTGTATCACAGTGTTGCATTAGATTTACAAGGTCAATCACCTGATTAAATGGACAGCCCTTATTGGAGTAATAGCTCATGCATTATTAATAAGTTTTATAATATTTGATACAAAACTGTCTTGATTTGCATAAACTTTGAATCTAATTTTCTCAGCCAAATTCAATTTTATCTTTAAGTTTTTAGTAGATTATGAATGTATACACCTAAACGTTTCACAAGTAATTTCACGGCTGCTCATGTTCTAAATATTACTTACAACTGTAATTTTAATCCATTGTATTGCAAAGCACAATGTTTTAAACTAAGCATCTGTTTTACATTGTAATTCAAGACTGTATTGATTCCATATCACAAGTTATATTTGTTACACTCAAAGTAAGATATACATATGCACTGTTGATATAAGCTGGCCAAGCCGCCATCCACCAGGCGCTTTGTTTTAAAACTCCTATTGTTAATGTCGCCTGATAAATATTGTACTATGATGCTTGTCAAATTCCAATCTTAGTTAAAGTTTATTTAGCTAAAAGGAAATATTAAATGTTGGTTTTGAGAGAAAAATCATTGAAGTTAACTAGGCATTTGCAAATCAGGACAAATCTCGTGATCAGATACAGAATCAGTAATGACAATAATTTCTCATTGTGATTCGCTTTATAAATTATTAATGAATTTGATTAATAGAGGATATTACATGGGTGCATAGGGATATAGATAATCATGTTATTATATATAAAAGGAAATTATCCATAAAATACCTTGTTTTACTTCCAATATATAAAGAAACCCCGAATGTGTTGTTTTCACTAGCGAAAACACCATCTTATTTCTTATGATCATAATTTATTGTTATTACCTAGTGACATATAGGGTTCCCTATATTTAAAAAAACACTGATATGATAAAAATCTGTAATCGTTGTAATGTGTTGCCAATATGATTCATGCGAACAAAAAAAAAATAGAAATATTCTTGATTCATATGATGTATATGTCAAGCAAGGGTTTTAAGAATTATTTTTGTTTAATATTCTCAAAAATAAAACAATAATAATATAGTAAAAGTGTGTGGATTGATGCTTGTAAAAATGTAAAAATATCCCCCCCCCCCCCTAAAAAAAAGTATAGAGATTGGCATAAAAGAATGATGTTTTTTCAATAGCTAGCTATATATAGATAGAAACTTTCTCCTATTCCCAAAACAAAAGCCATCTGGCAATATAGGCTTATCCTCAAATGAGAAAAAATACAAATGTGTATAGCTATTTGCAATGTCTTGTTTAGTAAATCTCTAGTCGCTCGCTTGAATGGGAAAAGGACAGGTTTGAATGTATTTAGTATCGAAGAAACTTCCCATTATTAATAAATAAGTAGATGACTGAATAAAGAAATGAATAAATAAACAAGAAATTAAGACAATGTAAATTATACATGAACGTATGTACGACATACGCTGCGATTTGAGGTGAAATAAATGCAAACTTACTCAAAGCATGYAATAGCTATAGTTCAACCTAAAAAATAGAAATTTTTAATTGAAGAAATATATGTGAATATTATTTTAAAATTTAAATACCCTAACCCTAAAACGCCAAAAAAACGTCTCAGAGACGAAAGCCTAGTCTTTTTATTATATGATAAACTGTTTTTTAATATATTTGTGAAAGGAGAACTGATTGATAAAGCATAAAWAATTCTGCTCGCGAAAAAGATTTTTGTTACTTGCAATATATCAGTGATTATCAGAAAAAGTTTTTTTTTCCAAAGATTAAAAAAATGAGGCATTTTTCTCGCATTTCCATGACAATAGCTGAACAACTTGACAGATTTTTKCAGAATCTGAAATATTGCAGCGCATTTTTTTTTCTTTTTTCTCTTTCTTGTGTGTAGTGTCAAGATATCAGTTATAGTTCCGGCCGTATTATGGCAAGACTTGTGACGCAACGAGGAACTATWTCAATGCATGACTTTGAATTTTGAAATTCAGTACTAAGTACCGCCTCATGTACGTGATACAGTCACGCTTCGGCTATTTTAACACGAAAAGACAAAAACATTCCTCGCAAAGTCTTGCAAAGTACTTCTTTTCCAGAAACTGCGCGTTAACTCATTTTAGATGACATGGAGCAAAACCCAATACAATACGCRTAGTATATGGCACACTGTTATTTGTAAAAATAGCAACGGAGCACTTTTCAAAATGACAACTTTGATATCTGTAATGTAAATCATTTTAGAATCATCTCACTTACACATATATATAATAATAAACGTTTTCTCTTTCTTATTTCATAGATTTGTACTTTTTTTCTTCAAGGCAACTCTTATCTAAGAGTCACTTATGGGAAAAAAATATATCACAACTCATTTAAACCATTTGAACTAAAAATTATCTATATTATCATTTACAGCAAGTTACACTTAATAATCAGTCTTTGGCTTGGCTTTAAGTCCATGTTTAAGTCCAGCAATTTTGATAATAAAATCACAGCCGGGTCTGTAACAAAACTGATTGCAAAATGCTCTTTTTAATGTCGATATCTGAAACGATAACTCACGACGCAACTRTAGATACTTGGTCATGTAGTRCCATAAAATCTCTTTCCCCTGGGTTTTGTAGCTATATGTGACATTTCGACCGAACAGCTGTTGCAAATCACAAGTTCTAAATGTAATTCCATGTGATTTTCTGATATGAACTTATAGGCATGAATATCGTAGCAAACTACTTTGTTACGGTTCGCTTTGCCAAGTATTGTGTTCATAATCTATCGCTTTCGAGTCGTGAGTTTCCTCCCTGGCGACATAAGTTCACTTCTCTTAGCAGCTTCGTCGAGCTTGGAAAGAAGTCTTGAGTACAGCAATGAATACATCGCTCCCTGTGTTTTTGTTATCCAATCCTGGTCGTAAACACATTCATTATTGTCCTTTGAGTTCGCGCTATCAACCTCCACGCACAACAAGGCATCTGTCATTGATRACTCTGAACCGTAGCCAGATTCGTC